AGGCTACTGACACTGGGGGGTTAGTTAGTCTGTCGACGGTAGCAAACAAGGCACGTGCGTTGTTTTTGTTTTTGGTAATGATGTCAGAGAAGAACGATTGTCGTGCGTTTTTCAATTCCAAATTATAAAGGCCAAGTCTCTCTTTATAGATTTCAAAGTGAACCTGGAGATTTGTTTTTCGCCACCTGTGTTCAGCTTTTCGACATTCTCTTTTTTCTGTTTTCACGGTCATGGCCTTTCTCCATGGAGATATTTTCTTGACAGACACTTCCTTTACCTTAGTTGGAGCAATGGCATCTATAACATTTTTAATTTTTGAATTAAAATGATCTACTAGCTCATTTACTGAGATGTTGGCAGGGGCAAGTGTGGAAGAGACATTCTGAGTAAACATTTCCCTAGTATTTTCAGTTAAATATCGCTTTGTGGTTACCTCTTTTTGAACATTTTTGTGAACAGAAATAGAGCTCTCAAAGAAAACACAGGAATGGTCAGAGAGTGCAACATCAGTCACCACAACCTTAGAGATATTCAGACCCTTTGAGATAATTAAGTCCAGAGTGTGCCCCTTATTGTGCGTGGGCTCCGTCACATGCTGAGTCAGTCCATAGCTATCAAGAACACAAAACAGTTCTTTAGCCCCTCTGTCCTGGGGGTTGTCAACATGGATGTTAAAATCACCAACAATGACTAGACGGTCAAAGTCAATACACACTATAGACAGCAGTTCAGTAAAGTCATCAAAAAAGCTTGCACAGTATTTGGGTGGTCTATAGATATTTAGGAACAGAGCTCGAGAGGAGCATTTCAGCCGAAGGGCCACATATTCAAAAGAATCAAAGTTTCCATACGATGTCTTCCTGCATTGAAGGGAATCATTGAACAGAATAGCAACTCCACCCCCTTTCTTATGCATTCTTTCCTGACTCATAAAACTAAAGTTGGGAGGGGTTGATTCGATAAGAACAGCTGCACTGTTATTTTGTTCAATCCAAGTTTCTGTTAAAAACATAAAATCGAGATTGTGCTCAGTGATTAAATCATTGATTAAAAATGTTTTTCCTGCCAAAGACCTGACATTTAATAAAGCTAGTTTAAGTTTGTTAAACACACTATCAGTCATGTTTTTTGTAACAAGCTGTGGCTGACATGGAATCACTGCTAAATTAGATACACTCACACAAACGTTTGAGCGCTTCCTGTTTCTATGATTCACCGCTCATAATCTATTACCTATCAACACAGATATCGGCAAAGCTACTGGCAGGCAGGGCCCCGACATGTCCTGGAAAGAGTTGAGAGTGCCATACGCCCTTGAGCCTGGACCCATCACATATCAGTAAGAGTTTGTTGTGTTTTGTACACACACATCCTTATCAGGCTTCGGAGACTGCAGATGCCCCCTCGAAGGGAGGGGAGGTGGTCGACGTAGGCACGGTGATGGAGACGGGCTAGATGGTGCGGGGGTAGAGGACATGCTGCCAGGGGGGGGAGGTGGTTGACGTAGGCGCGGTGATGAGGACGGGGGAGATGGTGCGCGTCTCCGCGGTGATTTTGGTGGGCGTCGTTGAGGAGCGGGGGTAAAGGACATGGTGCCAGCCCTGCGTATCGCCTTCGTTTGGTCTTTGAACTCCAGGAAGGAATCGGTGCCAACCCTCTGTATCTCCTTTGTGTGTTCATCGATCTCCAGGAGGATGGGCGAGGGTGAAAGGGTGAACGGAGTATCCTCAAAGGCGTTGACAGGGGGGGGGGGCAGTGGAGACTCCTCCATGTGTCTCATATGTCTCCCATAATCAGAACATTCCTCAGGCGGGTGCAGTGATAATTCTTCAGGGTTTTCTGCGTGATGTGTTGTGTCTTTCTCTTGTTTTGATTCCTCTTGCCGCTTGTCCTTGGCAGAGGGAACAGATTGATGACGCAGGCAGTTGAATATGTTAGAGATAAACAATTTCACTCCTGACTTGTTCAGGCAAACTCCATTTGCCTTGAAAAGATGTCTGCGATCCCAGAAAAAGTTAAAATTGTCAATAAAATGAACAGAATGGTCAGTACAGGCCGTTGAAAGCCAGGTGTTCAGTGCAAACAATCTTCTGAATCTCTCCACTCCTCTTCTGACTGGCGGTAGAGGGCCACTGATGAACACCTCTGCATTTAGAGAGCTGGCAGTTTCCAACAAACATTTAAAGTCTTCTTTCAGCACTTCTGACTGTTGTTTCACAACATCATTTGTTCCAATGTGCAGTACCACATTCTTCACAATCGGATGTTCAGCCCCAATATGCAGGATCTTCTCAGCCAAGTCAGAGACCACATCCTTGGGAAAACAGAGTACTTTGGTGTTGTTCTTATTACACAGACCTTTTACATCTCTTACAGCAGAGTCACCCACAATCAGAGTTTCAGGCCCAGTCGTTAGCTTTCCCTCTAGCCTTTTACTTTTAGAGTAGCTATTGGTCCTTACCCTGCTGCGTGAAGAGGACAGGTTATCCAGGTCATCAGATCTCCGGTTCTCGGTCAGCGGAGCGTATCTGTTCTGGATTGGCACACTTGGTGGTTTAGGAGGATTGTTTGTAATTCTCCCTTTAGCAGCTGTCCACTGCTGTTTCCTAGTATGAATAGGGGTTGAAGAGGCGCTCTTCCTGGGTGATAACAATGCAGGCCAGCCGGTCGCATCACAGATTTCGGAGCTCTGGGCTCTGCCTGTTATCCGTCCTCCCAATTCCCATGGAAATGATTTACTCTTAGGCTTTGCACCCAGAGAGTTCCAGGGAGGACTACCACTTGTAGATTTATTACCCGGTACACAGCCCTCCTGTTCCTTGGAATCCTTGTAGCTGCTAACTAGCTGTGAGTTAGCATACCCTTCTCCATTACTTTGCAACACTGGTAAAGTCGTGTCATTCCCACGACATAGTCCATTCACTTCCACGTTAACTTCCAACCGTTGCATTTTCATTTCCAACACAGCCATCTTCTGTATAAGTTTCTGGAAGTCATCTGTAGAGAACAGAGGCATTTTGCTACCAACTAGCTTAAGCTAAATAGCAGTAGCCTACCAGGCTTTAGCTGTTGCTAGGCCACGCTATTGTAAGACTGACGTCGTCGTAAAAATGTTGAAATATGGCTGAAACCCTCCGTCTATTTACGAAGATGAACTGTCCCAGTGATAAGTTAATGTCCAGGAGCCGCTGCTCGAAATTTTCAGAGAATAAGAATAGGAAAATCAGCATAAAAAGTAAGCAGAGGCAAGAGCAAGCAGAAAAGCGTCTGCACTGTAAGAAAGATAAGCTAAGTGAAGTGTGTATTTACCTGGTAGTAGGCTGTCAGTAATGGCTACGCCTCTCTATTTGGACTGGTAGATCTCGGCAGACTGGCAACTTTAAAAGTAGCTCTCGGTTCAAAAAAGGTTGGGCACCCCTGTCGTACATAATGCCTCATATATAGCTCATATATCTGTCTTTTTGCATATATGTCATACAGAATGCCTACATATAGGTCTTTGCAAGGTAATGTGGTAATGTGCATATTATTCCAAAGTTCTATATAACTACATGAATTAATCATTGTACTTATTTCCATTCAATGCAGATTGAGGTTTGCGGATTGCCCAAGACAATTCAATGTATAAAGACAATATTGTTTGATTACGGTATGTTTTATTGTATTAAGCAACATTTTTAGTTTAGTTATTTCACCCAGGACCGGAACCGGATGTTTATATCCGCTCGACGTCAGCTGATCAGTTTAAGATTAGTAAATTATTAAATATTTGATAATTGTACATTATTGTTAAAAGTTAACGCGTTAATAACGCGTTTTTTTAACGCCACTAATTATTTTTAACGCGATTAACGCATACATATTTGTTTTCCTCGGCCGCCCCGTAGTTTCAGAGCGCATCGAGTTTAAAATACCATCTACAAGCTGATGCTGACAGCCCCGCTCCTGCTGCCCGCTTGCAGCAGACCACACTTCCACGCTCACCGGCAGGCACCGACTGGCCATCGGGAGGACCGGGAGGGTGTGTGTATGTGTGGCCCGAGCGAGCGAGAGAGAGACCTTACGTGTATTGTTGTTGTTAGCATTTGGTGCTAGCTAGCTGCGCTAACGGATATAAGGAGCTGTTTCAATGAAAACAGAGGAGCGACATTTCGCCGAGCACTTGACTTTATGCAGGAAGCCAGACAGTGGGACATTGTACGAAAAGTCAGCACACTCAGCACGGATAGTGCGCGCAACATGATTGCAGCGTCCAGGCAGCTCCCGTTCGAGCATATGCCTTGAGTTGCACATAGCTCCAACGATCCATCACACACACACACACCACACACACACACACACACACACACACACACACACACACACACACACACACACACACACACACACACACACACACACACACACACACACACCATTTGTATTGTATGAGAGAGGTTCCAGGTTGAATTGAGGCGAATATTTGTAATGTTCAGAGGTTGTTGTGTTTAATATTCATGAGAATATTTGTCATTGTTCAAATGATAATAAACACACATATAAAGCATATTTGTCCACTCATATGTTGATAAGAGTATTAAAAACTTGAAAAATATCCCTCTAAGGTACATTTAGAACAGATAAAAAATGTGCGATTAATTTGTGATTAATCGCGATTAACTATGGACAATCATGCGATTAATCGCGATTACATATTTTAATCGACTGACAGCCCTATAAAACACATTATCTGAACCACAAGTTTTCACTAAATGTTACCTTTAATTGTTTACGTTTTTTTATATTATTAGAGAATAATAGAGACATTCGCTGCAGAATGTGACGTCATAGAAAAGCGCCACTCACAACGAGCGCGCATTCATGACGTCATCCCCTGTTTATTCCAACCGCTCGCGGATACAGGAAAACACAACAGACAGAACAAACATACAAATTAAATTACATTAATGTCACCATGTTTGCCTTGGTGGAGTGGACAGAAGGTAGTGACAAGGGACTTAGGAGCATTCTGCCGATTGACTGTGTTCGAGATTTTCATGAAGAGAATTACTTGAATGGCGACGAAAAAACTCCTGAGGAGTTTTTGGTGGAATGGCGCCATGGACGCAAGGGAGCTAATAGACAGTGGCCGGTGTATCAAGCCAGGATCATCAAGGTTGCAAGTATGTACACGCTATCCATATTTATTTAGCTTTAGTAATTAATTAAATGAACAAAAGCCTGTAAACCAGGCAATGTTTTCAGACCAAGGACCCCTTGGCTGAGAGAGAGAAGAAGCAGGGACACCCACTACATATTGTATACAATTGTGTTGTAAATTAGACAGCTTCATAGACTTTGACAGCACTAGTAGAGGGATGCAAACTTGGCCCTGAAAAATGAAAATGATCATTTGAAAGACCTCATAATAAAGCGTAAGTATTATTGTATTGCAATATTGGTTTAATACAATCGGATAGGACTTTTCTGTTTTGTAAATGTGCTGTCAATGGACCGTGTTACAACTTAGATGCAAATAGCATCCAAGTTGCTTGCAGCTATGGTGATCTGATGATTGTAATTGGTGTGATTTTTTTTTTTCCTTCTGTCACAACCTCACACTAGATATTCCTCAAATGAAGGAGGACATTGCCTCGCTTGCTGGAAGAGTAAGTTCCTCTTATTTGTATCACTTTATTTTACTTGTTACTTAATCAGAGGAGGAGATTTTTATGATGTTAGGCTGATTAGGGCAATTCACCTGCTGTTTGTATTTTTAATTGTTCAAAAATTATAACATACTGTCTTCCTTCTCTAACAAGTGTGCAGCAACCTCAAAACAATTGCAGGTGAGTAACATTTTTCTTGTTCTAAGGATGCATATTTTATGGTGTGACTCTGTAGGAGGCAATAGTCTACAAATGTGTGTTTGTCCAGGGCAGATTAGTGAATGAAAAATTTGGCACTGATGAGATTACATCAGTGCCAAATTTTTCATTGCCAACAGGCCAAGAACCTCCGCTTTCACATGTGTATTATATCATAATGGAAATCAAATCAATGGACAAATTAGTCATATGTCATAGAAAGCTAACTACAAAATAATTTCATCCCCCTTTAATTCATCTTGCTTCTCTTGTAAAAAGCCTCAAAATACTGTGGCAGCTGCAGAGCCTCAGAAGAAGCAGCCTGGTGATGACGATGATGATGGTGGTGGTGATGGTGGAAATAACAACAAAGTAAGTAACAAGTCAAAAATGTATCTATAAGCTCTCAAGGCGGGAGGCGGGAAAACATATAGATTGGATATTTTTGCTATTTGACATAAAACAACGTATTGGTTATAGGTATAGGTTATTGTCCATATTTCCCAGTTATTACCACTGTAAAAGTTAACCGTATACATTTTGTCATGTCACTGTTTAATTTCCAAATCCATGGAGAGAGAACCGAAGCTCCAGAGAAAACCGAAGCCCCAGAGACAGTAAGTAGATGCATATTAAGGTATAGGTTACATGAAAATGTTATCTGGACAGTGGTTATTTTTTTGATGGGTAACTGCAAAACTGATGTATTTTTTTTAAATAGTATTTTGAAAAGCCAAACTTGACCTAATTCTAACTAATAATTGTAAACTTAGCAGCTTCTTAGACAGATTTGGTAAATGCACTGACTTTTCAGATAATTCAAAAATAATAGTAATGATATATGAAACAAATCACTAATAAAATAGATAATCTGTTTGAATAAAGGCTTTGGGCTTTATCTGCCAATAAACTCACAGGGGAGTTTGTGTACACTACACCAGGTGGTTTGGCAAAACTTTGGAGTGGAATGCTTGGAGTCTGTAGAAGACTTGGAGCATTTGTACACTGTCATCTCATTATGTCCTTTTCTTTTCTCTGTAGAGGCAACAATGAAGAAGTGGCCACACACAACAAAGAGCCAGCTGGGTACAGCCATCAACAACAAGCTGACAGAGCTCAGGGCTCGCCAAAAGCAGACTAAATTATTGACATTTATTGACAATAAATGTATGTTAATGACTTATACATTTTGTGTGTTGTATTTTTTTTATGTAGGTAGGCTATGTATAAACCTTGAACATAGGTGTAAATAAACATATATGCGCATATATGTGAAACTTATATGCACATATATGTTTTGCATATATGTGAAACCTATATGTGCATATATGTGAAACCTATATGTGCATATACACTGCACCCATATATGTACATATATGTGTGTACATATATGTGCATATATAGATATATATGTACATATATGTTCAGAGACATATATGTAGGGGTCCAATTTCAGATATGTCACATATATGTTAAACATATATGTGACATATATTAAAAATATATAGGTTCATATATATTCCTTCCATGTGGGGGTCCTTGGCAGTAAGTCGGACCCATTTCCGGTGAGGGTTGGCCTCCGCAAAGGCTGCGCTTTGTCACCAATCCTGTTTGTAATATACATGGATCGGATTTCGAGGCGTAGTTGTGGGGGGGGTCTGCAGTTCGGTGGACTAAGGATTGCACCACTGCTTTTTGCAGATGATGTGGTTCTAATGGCTTCATGCTGGAACTGCTACCCCCGCGACCTGACCACGGATAAGCTGGAGAAGATGGCTGGATGGACTTTGGGATATTTATCTCCCATTCTTTTACTTTTCGGGCATTTTACAAACCAAACATGTCGTTGATGTCACTATTTACCAAACACAACCAGTTAGACTTTTATTCTGAAAATCCTTCACCTCCGGTTAGCATGAGGCTAATATACCATTTCCTATAGAGGTGAATTTAGCAGCGATATGATATGATGTTGCACACCGAAACCTACTGATTTCAACACTACAACTATAGACGTCGAGATATTATTATTGTTGGATATTAAATGAAGGTACAGTTTATTTGAGTACGTTATCGTTTACAGATGTGGGTAGCATGTCACAACATTCGGAGCGACCGGAAATCGAATTGCTGTGAAGGATTTCCTGTATTTTTTGGAGTGTTGATTACAGCGTTTGGAATGTGTTGAATGGAATGTCATGAAAGAGTTAAGGAGGAGAAAAGGAGTGTTTAGATATATATTGAATGTACAATGTCTGTATACTGTGATATGTGTAACAACGGACATTAAATAGTCGGAGAGCAGGCCCCCAGGGAGGAGCCAGGAGAGGCTATATAAACAACGAAACCTGAGGGGTTCGGCCTCTTTTCTCTGCTAGTGAGGGCCAGAGACAGCTGCTTTTCTGTCGGACAATATCCTGTTTGTGACTTTACCACGCTTTTTATTAATTAAAGTACCAATTTGAAAACATCTCAGAGACTCCATTTAGTCTCCTTTTTAAGCTTCTCTTTCCTGGACACGAGAATAACCATCACAGTTAACAATTGGTGACCCCGTGACGTGATTCTCGTTGGACGGGAGAAACTACACAACCAGCTGTTTTCCGGAGACACGGCTTCCGTTCGACACAACGAGCTCAAATACTTGGTAAGAGGAAACCTGTTAAATCAAATTCTTCATAGTTTATGCAGTACAAAATAGGTTTGTGTTGGACGGAGGCCAGCGGATCCTGAAAATAGCTGTGCATTTAATGTTAAAACAACCAAATTTATAACAATAAGAATTCCATAACACGTGGCGTTGCATTTTCGCAAGCAGGGTGAGTTCACACTTCCTTTTGTTCTCCTATTTAACCCTGCATGCTATTAATTTGTGTGTGTGTAGTATTTTAAAATATAAATGTGTGTGGCCATTGTACTTTGGGTAGGTGTCTTGTTGTGTTTTCATGTAGGTGTCTCTTGTTATGTCAGTAGTTAAATTAGCCTATGACGTAAGGATATATAAGTCCATTTAACGAGTATTGTTAAGATCTGTGGGACATAGCGAATTGATTAAGGATCAAGTAATTGAAAACCAACAAGGCATAGCGAATCAACTTAGGGTTGAGTAACTGAAGACAGTGCTAGTCGAAAACAGTTGAAAACTGTTTTAAAAAAGTCCTTTTGAGGAAAGGCTTGATTAAGGTGTAAGCTTTTATCAGTGGTCATAACTGTTCTAGTTTCAACCAAGATATTACGGGTGGAATACGAGATGTGGAGTTACAACAGCATTACGTTAAATTGACGACGGTCATTTAATGGTCGCTGATAAGTTTCCATAATACTCCCACCTAGCGTGTCGAAATGGCAGCAGTTGACCAATAGTGGACTATAAAGTCAAATAATACGTAGATAGGTTTATAGCTTATGCGTAAGGGTTCCTAACTTTAAGTGATGATATCAATAAGATAAGGCCCATTTTTTCATAGTAAACTAGATAGAAATGTTATTTTAAACTGCAGTGTTGTTTTGTGTTCAATTTTATTGACAAGATTACACCCCGCCATTATTTAAACTCCCCAGTGAGAGCCACGAGGTGTTTTCAAATCCCTTTGTTCTTCAGGTCAAAGGTTGGAAAATCAGTTGCCATCTTGTCTTGTCCTCATGCTGAAAATAAGCCACACGGCAGTCGCCATTTCGTGAAATGCTAATTGAAAGTACTCTGTTTGTTTTGACACACAGTCCCACTCACATGAGGCTAGGCACTCCATATTGAGAAGGACAAATCATATTTATTGGCAGAGTTGGAACTATAAAATAGACAGGTTATCTTACCGTGGGAAGTTTGGTATTTGTAGGAGTCTGGTTTTGAAAATATTGTTGTTTGCAAGTGCGTATTGGCGGTTTATTTCAGATATTGTTGTTTGCAAGTGCGTATTGGCGGTTTATTTGAGATATTCTTGTTTGCAAGTGCGTATTGGCGGTTTATTTGAGATATTCTTGTTTGCAAGTGTGTTTTGGCGGTTATGTGCTGTGTTGTTTAACTATATTCAAATTTTCTTCCCATTTTTAAGGAAATAAGCTTCTTCTTGTTAAAAAGAGGTCAGTTTTGCAACAGCTATCCCTAGTGGATTGAGCTGGAAATTACAACAGCGCACTCTGCTGGTAATACAGAATTATTACAAAGATACTATAACATTTTGAAGCTTAATTTTGAGTGTTATTGATGAACACATTCGCCGGGACAGAATTACAAAGTGGTTTCTAATTAACATATGAGAAACTTTACATCATAGACTTTCAAACTAGACTGTAGAATATTCAAACACCAATTGATTAAATCTAACACAAATTATGACATTTACATAGTTCCATAGTAGATTTAGATTTTCACAAGACTTCTATTTTCATATCTCAAAGTCAAAACAATACACTGTACAATTTTTATTTTAACATTTCAGATTTTAAAATTTGCATAATTTTTTATCTTTTAATTTAATTTATTAATATATATAAAAAAAAAAAAAACTTTAATCATAAAAAAAAAAAAAAAACCCTACCCAGATTTAAAATTAAGTTCGGATGACATAGGATATTATTTATCAGGAACGAAGGTGCTAGTCGGAGGATTAGTGTTTCAATCTTTGATAACTTAATAATATTCATTCGAATAGTTAGAGAACATGTCACCAAAATAAACTAAATTGAGGCTAGACGCAGAGCCAGGCTCAACTGCAGATATCAAGGGAAGGATACAAATCATGTCAGATGCTATAACAGCTCGAAATCTTAGAAGAAAGACATGGAGCCAAATGGAGAAACTGTTGGAACAATGGCAAACGAGAGGACTGTATCCAGCTGATGATCAACCAGCACCAACGGAAGCACATAGAACAGCTGTAATTGACTATGAGAATGGAGAATACCTGCAACAGCAACAAGCATGGATCAAAGCCGGAAAACCCCCTTGGTATGGACCTGCTAAAAGCGCTATGAGGAGAGCTGAAAAAAGGAAATCTAGAGTTACAAGTCTGGTACGCCATCTAAAATATGTCAGCCAAGGATCAACGAATGTGGTTCCAAGCTTGACTGATGCGCCTCCTCCCTACATGACAGAAGAACACCTTTTCTTTCAACCCTCAATACAAGCCCCAACTTTTGGCGCTTTAGGAGGAGTATTGGAGTTGAACGGTCTCCCCACAGCTACACGTGTCAAAGACTTGGAGTATGAGGTAAGACTCCTATCTGGTGAGCTCAACAGAAGATTGGACGAACTCGACAGAAGAATGGAAGAGGAGCTCAACAGAAAAATGGAAGAACTCAGCAAAAGAATGGAAGCACAACTCAAGAGAAGAGAAGGCGAAGGTTCTCCAGACACAACAACAGTAACTGAAGCTGGAAGATTCAACTGCTCAAAACTCATGCTACCGGTGATAGCGGCTGGAGAAGGAGGATTGAAATACCAATCATGGACTCACAGAGA